CTCTCTCTCTCTCTCTCTCTCTCTCTCTCTCTCTCTCTCTATTTCTTCTTTTTTTTGACTCTGCATTAACGATCTTTGTTCGATAAATAAAAAAATGTATAACTTTCTGGAAGGCTTTTTAACATTTAAATTCAGAATAAGTCCATCTGTCAATATAGTTTTATAGTGTTGTTGGTGGTGGTGGTGGTGTTGGTGGTTTCCATTGTGCCCATAACTCATGAACGATTGCATTCTGTGGTATTCATGGCTTTTCAATAAAACAAATCTCAAACAGCATTTAATATGGAAAAATCAAAAGTTATTGGTTAAGAATGAATGAGAGTGAAGTTAGCTGTTGCGCTTTTAAGCAACATTACTATCATTCTACTCTAGATGGCTCAAGCTTGACTATATTTCAACGAAAAAAAAGGAAAAATATGAAAAAGTAAATGTTTGTACGAAAAGCTGAACATAGCGATGAGTGTCTCAAGGCTTTCGAAGGATGCGAATCTTCAGATTTTTGAGAAAGAAATCACAAAATACTTAATTACTTTGCTCATCTCCAATTTGGCTTGAAAAACTAAATTTGTTTGAGAAAGTCAGTAATGCAAGTGAAAACATCAGAGCACATCTTTTTCAAACGAAATTACAAGCAAATAAGTGCTGTTTCGTTTGGAAAATCAAACTGATTTGTAAAAGTAATTTGGAAGGAAGAGGCAGTGAGTTCGAAACCTTATGTCAGACTGAAGAAGAGCTGTTAGCTAATTGGTAATTTCTTAAACTCAAGTTGTGAATAAGAAATTGTGAATACATTCATACAATATGAAAAACTGTTACAATATGCTTGTACTTGAAGCAGTTTTCGTTTGTAGTATTATTATACTCTCTAACTAAAAGAAAGAAGTAGCGCATGTATATGACAAAGATCCGTTTTCAGCAGCTTCATTGCTTTGCGCTAAAAATGAAGAAGAAGCAGATTAGCATGAGAAAAGATTGAACCGACTAACTCGAGCACCTTGGCTCGACAGCTAGCATAATTTATGTTGGTTCTTTACTTGTGAGCTGAGAGTAGCTCCCAAATAGACTGCATAATACGAGAACACTAAGAGGAAATATGGAAGCGGCTGAAGAAGAGATATATACAGCTCGAAAGAGATTCCATCTCCATATGTAATAAACAGAGAATAACTGAAGTACTGGTAAGTTAGAGGACGGCATGTTAAGCGAATTCCGAAAAGGATACAGCATGAAAGTATAAATGGAAGTAAATGGGTTCACTCAAGTCAGTTATATTTTGAAGGAGCCTCGCACTCTCTGACTTTTGTACTTACTTCTTATTCAATTGAAATGAAATGAAGAAGAATGAGATGGAACATTAACACAACACACTGATTGTTAACAAACACAATAATGGATTAAACATAAAAAACGAAGCAGAAGAGTGAACGAGCTGAAAATGAATGCATCATCATGAAAAATTAAAAGGAAATTTCCAAGAAAAAAAGGAAATTAAACTTTAATCCGCTTTTTTTTAGATGAGAATGAATTTTTTACTGAAATTAAAAATGTTTGAAAGGAAATGTGTTCACATGGGAATATCCGAAATAGGATGAGGAATAAGAAGGAGGAAGATCTCATTCACAAGGATGTAATAATGAAACCATATGATTAAAGTTCATGACAGATGACTTGCAGTATACATTTACACCTGTTGTCTCAAGTTATCCTAACTCCATAGTATTGGATGTGTGTATGTGTTGTGTGTGTGTGCATGTGTGTGTGTGTGTGGGTGAGTGTAAGAAAGATGAATGATCTTTAAATTAGACTAAACTGACTGCTGCAGGAGGATAGAGATAGCAGTTTTTTGGGTATCTTATTCATAGTCTGAACTCGTTAGGCAGTGTAATGCGCGCAGACACACACACACATACTCACACAGACGATAGGAATGTGAATAGTAAAAGGTTTAAACGTGATCGAAAATTAAAGTGACTAAGAGAGAAGAGAGAAGAGCCAAAGTAGTCTGAATTCTATAATTAAATGAAGGAAGAACAAACAAAAAAAATTTTGGTTTTACTTAAGAAATAGCGTTAGATATATGATGATAATAGAGCGATGTTTGTGTGTGCATTCTATCGAAAAAAAATTTTTCTTCTCTCCATCTCACTTTTCAAATGGGAGTTCTAGAAGAGAGAAATTAAAACAAAACAATTGGATGAAGAAGGAGATGAAGAAGATGTAGACGACGTTAAAGGAGTAGGAGTAACAAGTAGGAGGGAGGAGAGAAGTATTCTTATTCAACTTCAATGTCTTTTACGTTCTCAGCTTAAATGTCTTTCTGCTCTCTCTCTGTTATCATCTCTATACATGAATAGTATATGAGAAAGAAACAAATACTTTTCTTCATGAAGAAACACATATAATACTCATTAATAATAGTACATATTATATAGAAAAATAGGGGGGGAGGGAAGAAGGGAGAGAGAGAGAGAGAGAAAGACAAAGAACGAGGGAAGGATTCTGATATATTCCTTTTTAAAAATGACACACAGAAATTCATCTGAGAGTATACATATTCAATGATATTATTTTATAATGAATCCAAGGTTCACTTTTTATTATTCCTCCTTCAACCTCTCTATCTTTTTTATATCTCATCATCTCTCGTATCTCTTCAGCTCTCCGTTCTCATTTTCTCTTTTTTTCCTCTTTTTTTATAGGCTTCTTCTTGTACCTCCTTTTGCATTCCGTTTACATCATATAGTTTCCTATCTCTCTCTCACCGGAACGCCTCTCTATCTGTCTCTATCTCTCTCTCTCTTCTTCATTTCAGCCTTTTTTTCATTTCCCTTCTACTAACTATGTTCTTTTTTTATCTACCTTGTCTTCTATGATTCATGCACGAAAGAACGGAATGGAACAAGATTTCGATTCAAAAATTTTCTTTTTTTCTATTCAGGAAAATGCATTTTCACAAGTGAGCTGAGGATATGAAAGAAAAAAATATGGTCATCTTTCGAG